TAGGTTCAAACCTCATTACCAAAAAAAAAAAGCCAAGTGGCGACAGGGGTGCTCCCTACCCGGGTTTTGAAGTCAGGACCCAGCAGCGGCGAAGGACCGGGGGTCGGGTCCCCAGCCCTGGGCGCCCCAGCTCTCGGTGGGTGGGAGAGCGCGCACCCGGGCGGGGTTTCTCTCAGCCTCAGTTTCCCCACCCAGAAAGTAGAGAGGGGCGACGGCGGGCGATTTCCGTACTCCCCTCGGGCCGAGGCGGGGGCGGGACCTCGGGTCTGTAGCCGCGCTCGGTTCCGCCCCGTAGTCCGCCAGGCCCCGCCCCCCTCCCACGAGGAAGTGGCTGCGGCGCAGCGCGGGGCGCAGACCGGGTCGGCGCGTCGACTGCCCAGAGTCCGCGGCCGGGCGCCCGAGGTGAGGGGGGCGCGCGAGGGGGGTGGGGACGCCGCGGGACGCCAGGGTCCGGCGCCTCGGTGACCCGGCCCGGGCCCGCCGTTGGCCCAGCGCTGCCCGCGACGGTGCTGCCCCGTTACTTGGGCGCCGGGGCCCCAGCCCGGCCACTTGCTCGCTCCACAGCCTTCCGGGTTGCGCCGCCGCCGCCGCCGGGAAATGAGCACCCCCCCCCCCCCGCGCGCGCCTCTAGCCGCCGGGGTCGGGGTCCCGGGGTCCCTGGCGGGTGGGCGGCGGCCCCACCCTCCCCGGGCGCAGGAGGCGAGCGCAGCCGGCCGGGCGGACGGGTCGGGCTGGACCCGCGGGTTGGGGCAGGGATCGGATCGGGATCGGTATCCTGGAGCCGCTGGCCTGGGGCCGGGCCCTGGACGGGCTGTCCTAGGGCTCTGCGGGCCAAAGCTTGAGAGCTCGACCCAGGGAAGAGGGCTGGCTTCTTCCTTACCTGGCTGGTGGCCCTGGCCTTGCACCTGGTCTGTGGGCCTCCATGTTCCTCATCTGGAAAATGGGGACCTTTCTGATTGAGAGCTTAAATTCGACAGTGCTTGTGAGACCCTTGGCAGTGTGCCAGGCACAGAGCAGCGTGTACTGCTGTTCCACCGTGAGGCCTAGGGCTTTGAGCAAAGATTTGATCGGAGCACCCTGGTCAGACCCCAGTCCCAAGGTGTCATTGAGGAGCTGTGAGCCTCAATTTCCTAATGCACAAAAATGAAGAAAATCCGGGGCCGGGGCTTTAGCTCAGTGGTTTCCCCGCCTGCTGCACAAGCTCAAGGACCAGAGGTCGATCCCCGGTACCTAAGTTAAAAAAAAAAAAAAAGTAGGAGAAAAATGAAGAAAATCCAAAGGAACAAACTTCCCAGTCTTGCTTTTGGAGTAAAAGAATGTGTTAGGAAAGTTTTGGGTAAAAATGCTGCCAAGGAAGTAAGTTTTATTTTTCTTTTTAACCTGTCTTTGCACATAATCCGTTTATTAATCTTTTCCAATACAGTAGTTAAATAGCAACCCAACATGGTTTTTTGTTTGTTTGTTACAGTGCTGAGGATTGAACCCAGGGCCTCCCACATGCTAGGCATGAGCTCTTCCACGGAGCTCTACCCCTTCCATGCCCTTGTATTCATATCACAATCGACTCTAAAGTTTATCATTGTCTGGCTTTTTCTACACTGTCACTGTTATAAAGAATTTCAACGAGCACATTTACCCTTTTTAAAAATGTTGGTGGCTGTTTTCTTAGGCCCAAAGTGGACATCTATGGCCAAGATTGTCAACGGTTAAGTTCATGTTAATGTTACTCTGTTGTTTGTTCTTACACAGTTGTTGAATTTAGTTATCGTACTTCACAAAGAACAAACCACTTAGCAACAAATGAGAACTTTTCCACAGCCCTGCCAGCATTGAGTTTTCTGTGTTTTGGAGGTTTTATTTTAACTTGCGCTCTGTTGTGTCTTACGAGTGTTTAAATCTATATTTTCAAAGAATTTATATTTCTTGGCTTTGCTGGGTTTGTAAACTTCCGAGTGCAGACTCTGAAACAAGGCATTGGTGTTGCAAGGGCTGCTTACACTTGGGCTCCTGCCCACAACAGGAAGTTGAGTAAGCTTAGCATGCATGCAGAATGGCCCGCTGGCGGCTCCCTGAGCGCCCCTGGGCTGGGTGGGGACTTCCTGGAGTGCCTGGAGCCAAAGTCCTTGCTCCAGGCAGCTCCTCCTGCTCGCCTTAGCCTCAGATCCAGCCAAACCTCTGGACTCAGGAAAACTGAGCAAAACCAAGCAAAAAGAGACCTCCTGCCTGACCGCTCCTGAGCAGCACCCCCCACATGCTGTCCCCTTCCCAGGCCCCACCCAGCCCTGACGCCTGGGTGCCCGTTGCATGGGAGGTGTGCCAGGCAGTGGAGATCCAGCCCCGGGTTGGTGAGATGTGGCTCACAGCCAGCCACTCCCCCAGACTCACTCCCTTTCCAGGACAATGGGGCTCAGAGCATGGGATGTGAACTCCTGGTCCCAAGGCCATTCCCAGAGCCGCCGCCGCCTGTCTCCTTCCTGAGCTATCAGAGGCTTGGCTGTGGCTCCTAGGACGGGGTAGTAAGTGGCTGGGTGGTGCTGGGCCTGTGGCTCAGAGGTAGAGCTCTTGCCTAGCATGTGTGAGGAGTGGTTTGATCACCAGTCCTGTACAATAAATAAACAAGCCAGCCTTTTCCGCCACCGGGAAGATGAGGCCTGATGCCAGCACACGGAGGTGAAGCAGTCCCAGCCACCTCTTCCCTGCAGGGTGGTTGGTGGACAGCAGCAGCAGCTCTCCACCCCACTGAATTTGGTGGTTAGTTTTCCTGGGAATGATTAAGTCAGGGTTCGTAGGCAGAGTGGTGGGATGTGCAGCTGCTTCCTGGGTCTGACCAGGGAACAGTCCCATGATCCTGAGTCAGGAGGCCCAGAGCCCCAAGCTGACTCCCACTTCCTCACTGGAGAGAGGAAGGGGTTGGGGAGTCATTGCTGCATCAGCTGCTTTGCAGAAGTTACCAAGACGGGGCTGGGTGTAGTGGTGTTCCCCTGTAATCCTAGCACCCCGGGAGGCTAAGGCAGGAGGACCCCAAGTGTGAGCCCAGCCTGGGGAAATCGGTGACTTAACATGATACTGTCTCAAAGGAAAACATTTAAAAGGTGGGGAGGGGAGAGGGTATGGCTCAGTGCAAAGACCATTCCCCAGTGCCACAAAGGGAAAAAGTTACCAGGGGAAGCGGGTCTTACCTCCTCCCCCTTTACCTCAACCCTGCCCCTTTAAGGCGGCGCTTCGGTGTGAGTTCATGCTGCAGTGTGACTGCCCGAGAGATGTGGTCTGACTCTCCCCTTCTGTCTTGCTGGGCCTGTGGCCCTCTTCGCCAGCCCCTGCCTCTCCCTCTGAGAGTCTGCATTCCAGGAAGCTGTGTCTGGGCTCCCCAAGTCCTCTTCTTGCATCACCCTCTAAGACGTGTGCCAGCTGCTGATGGGGGCCTGAGGAGAGTAGCAACACTGGTGTTGGGAAGTTGGGCTCTGCCCTCAACTCGGACCTGAGTCCAGTTCGGGCCCCAGACTGCAGTGGGTTGGGGGGCTGCTCCCTGCTGGGTGCCTAAGAAAAGGGACGGGGCTCCACCTGGACTGCCTGCAGGGCCAAGGTCTGCGCTCCAGGCAGCTCCTCCTGCTCCCTTCCAGCCACACCTCTGGACTCCAGGAAACTGAGCAAAACCGAGAGAAAAAGAGACGCCTGCCTGCGCGCGGCCGGGCCTGCGGTCTGGTTTGTTCCAGCCTTTTCTGGATAGAGACTGGCCCAGAGGCTTGCTGTGAGGAGGACCCCTGGCCACACCCTGCCGTGACTTGAGGCCTCGGGGGCTGCGGCACGTGAGCAGTTATTGGCCCGAGGGCCTGGAGCCTCACTCTCACCCAAACCGGTGGGGCAGCGACGGCCTAGTCTGGGGCCAGCCCTGCAGCACTAGGGAAACCCGTCAGGCTCACTGGGGTGCCGAGGCGGCCTTCCTGGCTGCCTTCCCCATCGCAGAGGCCCGCCCGCAGTGGAGAGCAGCCGGGGAGGAAACTGCGCACGTGGTGTGTGCGTGCGTGTGTGTGTGTAGTGTGCGGTGTGCATACCGCCATCTTCATACACACACAGTACTGGGGATTGAACTCATGGCCTTTGCTCTGAACTACATCCCTAACCCTCAGCCCTTTATTACTTATTTTGAGACAAGGTCTCACTAAGTTGCCCAGGCTAGGTTCGGATTTGCAGTCCTCCTGCCTCAGCCTCCCAGAGTGCTGGGACTACAAGAGTGTGCCGCTGCACCAGGCTCACTTTCTCAGCACGCGTTAACTGAGGATACACATGGGGCCATAGTTCTTTTTTTTGGGAACTGGGGATCGAACTCGGGTCCTTGTGCTTGTGCATCGGGCAGTGAAACCACTGAGCTAAATCCCCAGCCCCCATGGGGCCACATTCTAAGCGTAGGGAAACAGATGAAGCCTTGCCCTGTGTGTGTCATGTATGTGCATCCCTGTGCTGCCTCAGAACTTCCTGAATGCCCTCCTCATGTGAGAGCAGGTGGTTGGCACCTGGCTGAGCGAGTGGGCAGACCCTCCAGGCAGTGAGCTTGTTGGCTCCGTGGTGCCTCTGATGCCAGACTGGGCTGGCCAGGGAAACCAACCTTAAATGGATGAACTGAGGCTTGGTGCCATCTTGCCCTTAGGGACCAAGAGCTGCTGCCTCATGAGGACCCACAGGTGTCAGGTGTGGGCACCCTCAGCACCTCCAGGAGAGGCAGGATTCCAGGTCAGAGAGGGCGAGGGATGTTTCTGGGGTCACATCTTGCAGTGACTCTGGGAAGCTGTGTCATGGAGGTGGGTCTTTCAGGATGGGCACATCATCGCCAGATGGAGCAGGCGTGGACACTGGGCAGCACTAGACAGGACCGGCCCGGAGGATCACTGGGCCAGGAGGCCTGTGTGTCCCGAAGCAGCTGAGGGCAGCACCAGGAGAGGCCAGGTGGTGGGAAAAACCCTGGGCTGGGCCGTCACTGCCTGCACAAGGAACTGCTGGCCACCAGGGAGATGACGGTGCTGTGTCCCTTGCTGCTCCCTGGCCTGAAGGGGTCCTCTGAAGCTCCCCAGAGTGTGGGGGCTGAGGATAGCTGGCAGGAGCCAGCCAGGCAGTTATTCTGCCAGGATTGTGCCTTCATGGGTGGGGCTGCTTTCGAGGACTGCAGTGGCACTGAGCTGCCTCCTCCGCTCCTGTGGCCAGGCTGCTGTGAGAACTCTTGGAGACCCTGTCCCAGGACTAGAACAGTCTGCCTTTCTGCACTGCCCATGGGGTTTACAAGATTGTTCACTTCATCTTCCTCCATCCTTAAGGGTGGGGGAGGGGGTTCAACCTACAAGGAAACTGAGGCACAGGTGACGAGTGATGAGCCTGTCTGGTCAGGGTTCCAGCACGTCCTACTCATGGTAGCATATCCCACCATCCCAGCTACATCCCACCCTTTTTCCCCCGGAGCCTCAGAGACATCCTGTGAGGCCTGCTGTCTTAGGAGAAGAGAAACTTCCGCCCTAGGAAGGGAAGCAATACACCAGGCCAGCCGGGAGACCAGGTGTCCTGTCATCCTTCCCTGCAAACTGCTGTCCCTGTGGAACAGGGACCCTCCCTGGGGGGGTCATCCAGGGCTGGGACAGCACCAACCCGGACTCTGCCCTCCCCACACAGGAGCTGAGCTGCCATGGCCTACCACAGCTTCCTGGTGGAGCCCATCAGCTGCCATGCCTGGAACAAGCACCGCACACGTGAGTATCTGCACATGGCCCCTGGGTCCCTGCATTGAGGGCTGTAGTCCCCAGGGGAAGGATGCGGAGCTCAGGAGCACACAGGGCAGCCAGGTGGAAAGGCAGGTGCAGGGCTCCTGGGGGAGGGGAGGGCGGGACAGAAGAGGAAACCACAGTGGTGGGAGATGCTTCAACCGTGAGGAAGACACAGGGCTGAGGGAGGCCAGGGAGGCAGAGGTGACGGTTTAAGAAATGTAGTTGGGTGTGGTGGTGCATGCCTGTAATCCTAGTGCACTGAGAGGCTGAGGCAGAAGGATCACCAGCCCGGGCAATTTAGCAACCTAGCAAAACCCTGTCTCAAAATAAGAGTAAAATAAAATTAAAAAGCCTGGGGCTGTAGCTCAGTGTGAAGGTCTTGAATTCAGTCCCCATTACTGCAAATCAAGAACAGAGAAAAGGAAAAAAAGGGAGGAAGTGACATTCACATACCCAGAGGAGGCGAGGGAGCCAGACAGAAGCCAGAGGGGTGGGGCGGGGGACTGCTGGGGTGGGAGGACAGTGGTCCCAGGTGCCAAGCTTGTGTGGGGTTATCTGGGGGGTGCAGGTAGGGGTCAGTCCCAGTAGGGTGTGCGGGGCTGGAGGGGATCCCTCCAAGGAGAGAACTGATTCCTGAAGGGTGAGGCGCTGCCCAGGCAACCTTGAGGGACCTTCCTCGTGGGGGTGCCGGAGGGTGCTGGCTCTCGTGCCCCCACTTACTCCTGGAACCCTTTCCCCTGCCCTGCAGAGATTGCCATCTGCCCCAACAACCATGAAGTGCACATCTACGAGAAGAGTGGGGTCAGCTGGAGCAAGGTGCATGAGCTCAAGGAGCACAACGGGCAGGTGACAGGTTGGTCACACTGGGTGGGACCACCTTCCTGAAAGGAGGCAGGGGTACAGGCAGGCCACTGAGGCTACCCACCCACTCACTGTATTAGGTAGGATAGTTTGGGTTTCCAGAAATTCAAACTGGTTTAGGTTCTGCATGAAGAGATTATGTTTGCAGGTGTTAGTGAAAAACTCCGGGAAACTGGCCTTCAGGAGTGGCTTGATCCAGCAGCTGAGCATTACCAACCACTGCTCTTTCCTGTCTCTGGCTTTGCTCTCCATTGTGTTTGGTGATAGCCTGGGCAAGCTGTCACACTCTAACAAGCTCTAGCAGCAACCCCTAGAGTCATCCACATAACAGTGGATTTCAGAGGAACTTGCACTAGTTGGGCAGAGGCATTGTCCTTCCTGACTGTGGCTTTGAAGCCCCTCCTACATGACCTGGCCTCATGTGTCCCCCAAACCCCCACAGGCATCGACTGGGCCCCTGAGAGTAACCGCATCGTGACTTGTGGCACGGACCGAAACGCCTATGTGTGGACGCTGAAAGGCAGCACGTGGAAGCCTACACTTGTCATCCTTCGGATCAACCGTGCCGCCCGCTGTGTGCGCTGGGCTCCCAATGAGAACAAGTTTGCTGTGGGCAGCGGCTCCCGCGTCATCTCCATCTGCTATTTTGAGCAGGAGAATGACTGGTGGGTGTGGGGCTGGACTGGAGGGGCAGGGAGACCTCGAACTGCAGCCCCACAGTGCGTAGCATTGGGGGTCCCCGGAAAGCACCTGATCACGTGACCTGTCTGGGCTTCAGGGGAAAGGCCAGGGGCTCTGCATCGTCCAGTGTGGCCCCACAGCCTCCACTTGGTGACTTCTAGGACTCAGACCAGCTCTGGGGCATCATGCCAGGCCTCGCACACACAATGCCTCTGACTTCCTGACAGTGGCAGAGCGACTCGCCTGTCAGTCTGCAGTGCACCACTCAAGCTCCCAGCCTCATCCTGATTCCCCATCTCACTGAGGGCAGGGGCCTGGCAGCACAGCTGGAGTTTGGGAGACCCAAGTTCAAATCCCACCATGGCCAGTTAGCAATCGTGGGACTCTGAGCAGTTAGGAGGAGACAGGGTGTAGGGTTTCCACCCGAGGGGCCCTACATCGCTGCCAGCAGCAGGCGGGCCTGGGGCTCTTGCACATGGCACTTTGGAGTCCTCAGGGGCTCACCTGCCTACTTCTGTCCAGGTGGGTGTGTAAGCACATCAAGAAGCCCATCCGCTCCACCGTGCTCAGCCTGGACTGGCATCCCAACAACGTGCTCCTGGCCGCTGGCGCCTGCGACTTCAAGTGCAGGTGAGGGGGGTGTGCCCTGGGAGGGCTCTGGAGCACCCTGAGGGTTTGCTGTGGGAAGGATCGCCATCACGTCTGGTCACTCAGCAGCACACGGTGTCCCCTGCCGCCTCTGAATATAAGCAAAGTTCTAAGCCCTCCTATCCTACCTCATTAGAACCACCCCCCCCGCCGTGTAATTTCTTGCTTCCATCTGAGGGAGAATGAATGGGTGTACTTATTCATACTGAGGTGTGAATGACTGGAACAAAACCTGGTTAACTTTGTTTTTGCCTTACTGGGGATCAAACTCAGGACTTTGAGCTTGTGAGGCAGGCATGGCACCACCGAGCTAAATCCCCTGCCTCCTGGTTCATTTTCTTAAGACCTTTCTTAAACCTAGAGAATCTCACGTTTCTGGTCCCACCCGTGAAATCTCACTTGGTTACCAAACCTCAGTTCCTTCCATCTCTGGGCAGACAGCCCCCTCTCTGAATCCCTACCCGCAAGGACGCAGGGGCCTTGGGTGCAGAGAGGATGGTATCCTGTGGGCTTTGTTGGGGGATGGGGAACCAGAGTGTGGTACCCTGCTGTCTGTCAGACTGAGAGATCAGTATAGGCCAGGCACGGTGGTGCTGCACACCTGTGATTTCCAGCACTCTGGGAGGCTAAAGCAGGAGGATGCAAGTTTGAGCCCAGCCTGGGTAACCTGGTGACTTAGTGAGACACTGTCTCAAACTAAAAATAAGCTATGCGTGTGGTGCACACCTGTAATCCCAGCACTCGGGAGGCTGAGACAGGAGGGCATTGTGGGCTACACAGTGAGTTCAAGGCCAACCAGAACCACATTGTGAGACTCTATCTCAAAAAATTCAAAAATAAATAAATAAAAATAAACCAGGAGTGGTGCGGCCTGAACTAGTGAGACCCTGCCTCAAGAAACTCAAAGTCAGGTATGGTGTCATACATCTCTAATCCCAGGATTTTGGGAGGCTAAGGCAGGAGGATCACATTTCAGCCCTCCCTTAGCAACTTAGACCATGTCTCAAAATAAAAGCTAAGGGCCACGGATGAAGCTGAGCACCGAGGGTCTCAGTTCAAGAGCCAGTCAGTGTGACAGGGTTGGATGGAGCAAAGGGCCAAAGGGGACAGGGCTGTCCTGGGTCGCTAGTATGGTGGAGACGGGCTGCCAGCTGGGGCCTGCCCTGACTGTGGCCAGCCGTGAGGAAGCCTAGGGTTTCCAGTGTACAGGACGTTGCAGTGGGAGACTCATGGCTCCATCTTGTACCAAGGGGAAACTGAGGCCTAGATGTGTCCAGTGTGAAGATTTGGGTCATGCAGAGCCGGTTGGAGCTAGGCTCAGTATGCTGGCTGCCAGTATGCTGCTGCGGCTGCCTGCCAGGCCAGTCTGGGACAGTCCCCTTCCTGGCCCACCCAAGCCCACTTCTCCCCTATGCTCCTGGCAGGATCTTCTCAGCCTACATCAAGGAGGTGGAGGAGAGGCCAGCCCCCACCCCCTGGGGCTCCAAGATGCCCTTTGGGGAACTGATGTTTGAGTCCAGCAGCAGCTGCGGCTGGGTGCACGGCGTGTGTTTCTCAGCCAGCGGCAGCCGAGTGGCCTGGGTCAGCCATGACAGCACCGTGTGCCTTGCTGATGCCGAGAAGAAGATGGCGTGAGTGCGGGGCTGCAGGGGGCAGAGCTGGGGCAGGGTGGGGCGGGGCACTGACCTTGCTCTTCTCCCAGCGTGGTGACCCTGGCCTCTGAGACGCTGCCGCTGCTGGCCCTCACCTTCATCACTGAGAACAGTCTGGTGGCAGCGGTAAGCAGCTGGGGACAGGAGGAGCGGGCCCGGGAATGAGCACAGCTCTCCTGTCCCCATTCGTTCCCTCCCCTCTTTTTTCCATTCATCTGTCTGTACTGAGCAGAATGCAAAGTGTAATCAAAACATTTTTAAACTTTAAAAAAAATGTATTGTAGTAAAGATACATTGCCCTCAATCCCCTTCAGAATCCTCCCCCTCGCTTTGAATACACACTTATCCTGCAATTCTTGCTACTTCCTGAAGCAGCTCTAGTCCTCTTTCATGTCTTTAGTTGCACTGTCCTGGCTGCCTCAGTGTCCTAAACTGGTTCAAAACATTTCCCCTTCGACGTCATTTCGACTTTGGGGAAGAGCCAAAAATCACAGTGCCAGATCTGGTGAATAAGCTGGATGAGGATTCACTGTTATGTTACTATTTGACTGGGCTGGGGATTTAGCTCAGTGGTTCCGCCGCCTGCCGCACAAGCGCAAGGTCCTGAGTCCGATCCCCAGTACCAAAAAAAAAAGTATGGGCACCTATGTTACTATTTGACAAACTGCCATAAATATAAACTGCTCCAGAAAATGGCAAGAATGATAACATGAACCAGCTCCTCACAAGGGATGTAGTCACTATGTGCTGTGAATATGTACCAGTAAAAATAAAAATTTAATAAAAAAAGAAGTGTGTTTGAAGTGAGAGGAGTATTTTGAAGGGAATTAATGGCAATATCTTTAACTGCAATAAAATTTTTAACTTAAACATTTACCGTATCTCTGGCTCACATCTCCTAGGTTGGTTTATGCTGCAGTAATAAAAATCCCCAACTGCAATGGCATAATACAGCATTGGTGTCAAGGGAACTGTAGACTCGAGCAGTCATATCTGCTGACACTTAAATGCCTATTGCAAATGATGTGACCACACCTAACTCAGAGGTCAGGTGTGTGGTACACAGGTCCACCATGTGTCAGTGGTGCGTGGTGCTTGCCCCTATCCCAGCAGTCTAGAAGGTCGATGCCAGAAAACTGCAAGTTTGACTGCAGCCTGGGCAACTTAGTAAGACCCTGTCTCAAGATAAAAAAATTTTTAAAAGGCTAGAGATGGAGCTCAATGTGAAAGCCCTGGGTTCAATCCTCAGTACCACCAAAAAAAGGGTGTCACTTTCTCCCTGCTGCCCTCTTGTCTGTCATACCTGTCAGTTCCCTTTTCACGCCTCTGTCCACATGCAGAGTGCCAATGGCAGATGGAAGCAGCTTTCTGCCTAGAGGAGCAAGCAGCTTGGGGATCCCCTGGCCTGGCTAGGAATCCGGGCAGTTCTCCCTAGACGCTGGCCCTGCTGGCAGGGGGTCAGCGCCTCACACGTGTCTGCCTGACATACCTGGGACTATGTCCCTGGGCTGGGGCCCGGTCTCCTGGGAGCAGTAGCCCATCAAAGCCTCACCTGGGCCTCCAGGGTTCCCCAGGTAGAGAATGGGGGTATGGCACCTGGCCAGGCCAGTGCTCAGTGGCACCCCTACCCGGCTGCAGGGCCACGACTGCTTTCCTGTGCTGTTCACCTACGATGGTGCTGCTGGGAAGCTCAGCTTCGGCGGGCGGCTGGATGTGCCCAAGCAGAACTCTCAGCGCGGCCTCACAGCCCGGGAGCGTTTCCAGAACCTCGACAAGAAGGCGAGCTCAGAGGGCGGCAAAGCTGCAGGCACCGGCCTGGACTCGCTGCACAAGAACAGTGTCAGGTGGGGAACCCTACCTGGGAAGCAGGTCCACCTCTTTAGGTCATACAAAACACAGCATCAGAGCAGGGCGTGGTGACACTCACCTGTAATCCTAGCACTCTGGGAGGCTGAGGCAGGAGGATTAAAAGTTCCAGCCAAACTTGGGCAATTTGGTGACTTAGCAAGACATTGTGAGTGAATGAATGCACGAATGAATGAATATGGGGTAGGGATGTAGCTCAGTGTAAAGTACCTGGGTTCAATCCATACTACCAAAAATAAGCATCCAGCGACGGTGAGCAGCCAGCCCCACTCTGAGTTTCGATCGCTGGGTGAGACCTTTAGTGCTCTGTGAGGTGTGGGTGGAGCTGAGGGTCCTGCTACAGCCTTCTCAGAACCAGGATGAGACCCCCCTCCCCCCAGAAAACCCCAAAGCTGCCAGCCACAGGGGTCCACCCCATGGAGAATCAGAAGGGAGCCTTCCCAACTGAGCTCCTCAGCCACTTAAGCCCTTGTGGGCTGAACGCTTTTCTACGGACTGAAGACCACTGCCCACCACCGTGTCCTCTGAGCCACTTTGTCCTGGTCCTGGCACACACTGCCGGCATTCGTACACCCCAGAGCACATCCATCCTCCCTGCCCAGCCCTGAGGGTCCTGAGCCACTTGCCAGGTCTGCCCTCTGCACCTCTCGGTCCACTGTGGGCTGTGCACACCCTGTCCTGGCACTTGGAAGATACGGTTTCCGTGGGGGGAACGACAGCTGGGGTCCCTGAAGCCCGCGTCACCTTTACAGCCAGATCTCCGTGCTCAGTGGGGGCAAGGCCAAGTGCTCGAAGTTCTGCACCACAGGCATGGACGGCGGCATGAGCATCTGGGATGTAAAGGTAATGCCTGCTGCACCCCTGGCCTTCCACTAGGCCCCCAGGTTGGACCCTTCCCCTGCTCCCCAGCACCTGCTACAGGAGAGGCACTGCATGGGGACTGAGCAGGCAGTGGCCCCAACCTCTTGGCCTGCTTACCCACTGCCTGGGATTCACCAGGTTCTGTCCTCTGCTGTGCTGGTCCCTGGCATGGGGTCTGCAGGACAGCTGAGAACCAGCCTCTCCTGCTCCTTGCAGAGCCTGGAGTCAGCCTTGAAGGACCTCAAGATAAAATGACCTGTGAGGAACGCTGCCCTCATCCCAGCTGCTGGGGAAGGGAGGCAGTGAGGGGCTGCTTTGCTGAATGCTTCTAGGGTACAGCGTGGGTCCCCACAGGGCTGCTCCCTCAGACGGGGAGGGATGGGTGGGGAGCTTTTCACCTATTCAGGGAACATGTGCCTTTTTCTTAAAGAAATGCTTTCATTTATTGTTTAAAAAAAATATACCCAAAAGCACAATGCTGGTCATGAACTGCTTCAGATGTGGAGGTAATAAAAATCCAGTTTTGGATACAATAAAAATGCCTGTGTTTGGAAGGAGCTGGCTATCGTGTGAGCAGACTGCTTGCCCAAGGACCTTCTCCCAAGGCTTCCTTCTCCCCTGCAGTCTGGCCCTGCGGTGTCACTGTCAAAGCCACCAGGACCAGGCAGTCTCTTTCCTGTCACTCTAAGTCACATCCTAGACAAAGGGGTTGCACATACCAGCCTGAACCTTAATGGAAATTCCTTATTTCTCTGTTACGATGCTGATGGGGTTTTTTTGGTACCGGGGATTGAACTCAGGACCTTGCGCTTGGGAGGCAGGTGCTGGAACCACTGAGCTAAATCCCCGGCCCTTGGGTTGTTTTTTGATAAACACTCATTTCTTCCATTTTTTCTTATTTCCGTTTTACTCAGAGGTGTTTTTATCACATGCTCTCTACCCTTGAGCTTCATCCCAGCTTTACGTAAGCATATTACACTCACGGTAAGAAATTACATCTAAGGGTGGGGGATGTAGCTCAGCAGTGCAGTGCCTGCCTGGCAAGCTCACGGCCCTGAGTTCGATTCTCAGTACCAAAAAAGGAAAAAAAAAATAGATCTAAGATTTGCTAATGGTAAATTATCCTTGTATCAATAAGAAAAAAAGATGCCTTATCGCCCACTGTGCTAGTGCCTGTTCCCCTGCATAGCCTCCCTGTCAGAAGGGGCTCCATTCTTTTGTAGTCACAGTGAGAACTTGTCAGGCCCTAGCAGACAATGCGAGGGTACACAGCTCACCTTAATTCTCTTTTCTTTGAGATAGGGTCTCACTATGTAATCCAAGTTGGCTCTGAACTCACAGTGATCCTCCTGCCTCAAGCCCACTGCAAAGTGAGGCTCAGGTCCTACAGCTGATGACTGTCACCAGGCCCTGTACCAAAGGGCAAGGAGGCATTTGCACACCTCTTGTGGCTCCCTTCAGCTGGGCCAGTACAGGTCCCAGTGATAATCAGTGTTGTTCCTTCTCCCCTATCCCGAGTTGCACATGTTGCTTGGCTTTCAGTAGGGGCTTTGCACATCTCCCAGCCCTCCTCATTAGACATGGAGAGGGGCACAGGTGCTAGCTTAGAAGTGACAGGTTCAAGCAGGCATGGTGGCACATGCCTATAATCCCCAGCACTTTAGGAAGCTGAGGCAGGATGGCAAGTTCAAACCCAGCTTGGGCCACTTAGTGACTTAGACCCTCTCAAAAGTAAAAGGGCTGGGGATATAACTTAGTCAGAAAGTCCGGAGTTCAATTCCCAGTGCCACCAAAAAGCAAAGTTCAAAGCCAGGCACAGTGGCATGAGCCTCTAAGCTGCTTGGGAGGCTGAGACAAGAGTACTAGTGTTTTGAGACCACCCTGGGCAACTTGGTGAGACACCATCTTAAAAACAAAACACACAGGGCCAGGAATGTAGCTCAGTAGTTCCGGCGCCTTGCAAGCACAAGGTCCTGAGTTTGATCCCTGGTACCAAAACAAAAACAACAAAACACACAGGTAAACCATGTTTTGTGGATAACTTCAGTTTTACCATAAGGCTGATATATTTCAATATTTTGAAAACATCAGTATTAATTTTGGTTGGCAGAGGTAACCTAACCAACTACCATTATGCTTGGTATTGAGAGATACACTTTTCAGTAAAATTACTGAAATGCAAAAAACAAAACAAAACACACAGGAAGGATAGGATGCTTACCTATCATGAGGCCTTCAGCCCCAGCCAGTGCGGGTAGGGTGGGGAAAGAGGGCCATGCAGGTTCAGTCCTGTGCCTCCCCTAAGCAGGAAGAGGCCTCTCCAAAGTGGCTGGAAAGCTCAGCCAAGAAAGGAGGGGACCCTGGACTCTGCCCTGTGCCAACAATGGCAGCTGGGCCTGTTAGGCCTTTGTGTCAGGCCCTGCCACGTGTTGAGGGGACAGTGAGGGGTACAGAGTTGCTGCTGCTGAGCTCAGTCCAATGGGGGAGGCCATGGAAAGGCGAGGTGACACCAAGGGCAGATCCAGGTAAGGAACTGGATGCTAAAGGACTAAGGTGAGGATGGGGAGGTCCACCAGCTCCTGGCTCCAGGGGATCAGGCCACCAGAGCAGGGAACACACTAGCTCTGCATTCTTGAGGCCAGACTGGAGCCTGTGGGCTGCTGCAGGGCACAGGTGTGAGATGACAGATCAGGCAGAGATGGGTGGTAGCTGACCTGGCTTGGGCAACTAGGTGCATGGCAGAGACTTGGAGTCCTAAGAGACTTGAAGTACCACCTTGGGAAGGAGGCCTTGTTACATCCACTTTAAAGAGGGGAACAAAAGCTGAGCATAGTGGTAGCAGCCTGTAATCCTAGCATTTGGGAGGCTGAGGCAGGAGGATCGCTCAGTTTGAGGCTAGCATGGGCTCTACATAGTAAGCCCAGGGCTAGCCTGGACTACATTATGAGACCCTGTCTCAAAAAAAATAATAAAAAAAGGAAATCAGGCTGGGGTAGCTCAGTACTAAGAGCACTTGCTTAGATGCAAGGGGCCCTGGGTTCGACCCCAGCACTACCCAAGAGGAAACAACACCAGAGAAAGAAGGTAAAGTTGCGTATTTCCACTACAGGGGCATCTGCTGCAAGGGTCTCTGGCTAAGACACAGCGAGATACTTCCAGCCTACAGGAACACTTATCCATGCATCATCACCTAGAAGGCCAGGCATGACCTGCAGAAGCACACTCCTAGGCCGCAGACAACACAGAGAGCATCCTGAGCACCAGGGGACCTTGCCATTCAGACCTCCAGCCTCCATACCTCATTACGATCATGCTACAGCAGGGACAGGGCAGTGCACCTCACCATACAGCCCCCACCTTCCTCCATCTTCCTGGAGAACCTCATTTTATGGCCACAAACTTGAACCTGGGCAGCAGCTGCATGCATGATGGGCAGAAAGGGAGAAGAACACTGGCAAGAACTTTGGTTAATTCCTGCTCCTCAGGGCCAAAGCTTCCAGGTCAGGGGAAGGTGCAGGTGCTGGTAGTTGTGGGATCCTTCGTGGGGCTCCTGAACTCCAATACTGTCAAGCCCAGGGTGGGTGTGGCAGAAGCAGCCCAGTCGGGCCACGAAATCATTTCGTCTGACCTCAGGCAAACCATACCACCCCCACTCACACTCCTCCCCAGCCACCCAGTCACACCACCGTGCCCCTCAGAACCCAGACCTCTCAGGACCATGCACAAAGGACACTAGTCCCAAAGTGCCCCTCTCATGGGCAGAGGCAGGACAGGCTCCACGGGTTCCCTTTCACTGGCCTCAATCTGTAGGCAGCACACTTGCTGGGAGTAAGCCTACTTCCCCACTGCCCACCCTGCCACACCAAGGATGAAATGAGCCAAGTCCAGCAAGAGTCAGTGCTGGGCAGCAGCTTCTAGGAGACTTCCCCCAGGACAGAATTAGGCTGTCACCACCAGGGGCCACCTGGCGGCCAGGAAAGGGAGGCCCAGTGCTGCTCCAGCCTGGTGTGACAGACCAGTCCCCAGCCACAGTACCTGTGGCCTCTCCTCCCTGATCCTGGGCCCAGTCCCTACACCCTGCAGTTGTGCCCAACATAAGCTTCACTATGTGCTGGGAACCTTGCTGGTGCACTCAGTGACACCATGGGCAAAAATGGCTCAGGCACAGGAGCCAAAGGATGGATTGCAAAACAAGGGTTACGATAATGTCAAGTTTAATCTGCCAAATATACAAGTTGAATTTGTGGAGCATGTTTTGCCTGGGTGCTGCACAGTAGACAGAGGTTTCTTGAAATGATCAATGGGTTGGGTTAAAAATAGGTACTAGCCCTGGCCAGATGTGTGGGCACAGGGCAGGGAAGGGCAGAGAGGAGGCCTGGAGAAAACTGGCCAGGGACGGAGAAGCCATGAGACCCTGGACACACTCCCCTCTCCAAGCAGTACCCAGGCAGCACAGACTGGGGCTGGCTGTTGCAAATGTGCCAGCAGCTGCCACTGGCACTACCACCCACTAACGTGAAATCTACTGAACAAATGACAGCTCTTCTGACCCACCTCCCAGGCACCACCCCCACCAGGGTTCTGAACTCTAAAAACAGCAAAAACATTCAAATGGTTACATATGAAATGCTGTCCTGCACATCTTTCTGTCTCAAAAGATAGCAGCTGCCCCCCAGCCCCCGAACAATTTCTGTGCCAACGTGAAGAGGTGGCCCCAGGCCATGGGGGCTGCTGGCCGTGAGGGGCTGCTGCAGCAGTGCCAGGGCACAGGGCGGACGAGACACAGCGGCGGTCCTGGTGGCGCGGCCCAGTTCCCTGGCCCCTCCTCGCAGGGACGGCGCTTACTTATTCAGGGAGAGTGACTGCATCCGCTTTCCAGACAAAGTCGCGTCATCTTTTGCTGAGGGGTTGGAAGGGAAGTGCAGGATTAGGACAACGCAAAACCACCCACCATGTGCCCCTCAGAACCACAGAGCTTTAGTTCTAAGGGGTCTCAGAAAACATTCTGTGCTGCTGGCTCAGCTGGCACATGAGGAAGAGATCCAAAGGAACTGCTGCCCACTCCAGAAGAGAATTTCTGCTGAGCCGTGAAACCCAGGCACCCAGACAGTCCTGAGGTATTTGAGTGGCTGCCACCACCTCAGGAAAAGCTGCCCCTACACCAATGCCGACTAACATGTACTCCAGTGGCACCTGAAAACTTCTCCCATCTCTGGCAAAGCCCCTAATTACAACCTCTCTCTACAGATTCTCAAAGAGGGAAGCCTCAAATCAGCAACATGCACAGTTATCTGTGAAGTCGCGTCCTGCTTGGGGCTTGGTATTTGGATTTTTGTTGTGGTTTGTTTTTGCCACTTGAGGTTTGGGAAGCTAATGCACCAATAGCAGAGGGGCCACTGACCACTGACTCCCAACTCCCAGGTGTCACAGTTTGGATACGTCTCCTAGAGGCTCCTGTGTTGATCGATGGCTTGGTCTCCCATGCAGCAAAGTCAGAGGTGGGGACTTGAGGAAGGGCCTCCTGAGAGCTCGGACCTCGTCCATGGATTCACCCACCATTCAAAGGGTACTGAGAGGTGAAGGGAATTTACAGGGTAGGAACTAGCTGAAGCAAGTGGGTTGGTGGGGACATAACCCTAGAAGGGTGTTTTTTGTCCCCAGCCCTTCTCCTGTTTTGCTTCCTGGCTGTCACCGGATGAGCCGCTGTTCTTCACCACAACCTTCTGCCATGATGTTCTGCCTTACCACAGCCCAAAGCAATCATGGACCAAAACCTCTGAAACTGACCCTAAATAAATCTTCCTTCCTTTTGGGTTGGCTTCCTTAGTTATTTTGTCACAGTGACAGAAAGTTGACTACCACACCAGGCCTATTTCCTCCTGGCCTGATGAAGAGGCAGGACACAGCCCCCAACACATGGAAGGTCTGAAATGTTCCTCTCTATAAACCGGACCAGCTGCTCATGGCCACCCCCTATAGGAATCCCAGCCACCTTTGGCTGCCCAGAGGGACAGCACCGGGGGGAGGGGCACTTGGGTGACTTCAGTTGGGTTTGTCCTGTTAGGCGGTATCCATTTCCACCCCGCAAACCTAGCCTAAGGTGGATGGTGCGGGCCCTGGGCAACCCTCCTGGCTCGACATGCTACTAGGTCTTTTGGGGTTTTCTTTTGGTACCGGGGATCAAACTCGGGCCGTTGCGCTTTCAAGGCAGGCGGCGGCACCACTGAGCTAAATCCCCGGCCCCGCTACTAGGTCTTAACAGGACCTTCAGACCCTGAGAGGGCTCCACTGTGCTCCGAGGCCTCCTGCTGCTGAGGGCAGTGACCACTCCCCTACTGGAAACACTCTGCCAGGGTTCCAGCTGCCACGACCCCAGGACACCCCTGTGAGCACCTCCCAGGAAGGGGCGGGCAGGAGCGCCCCCCTCCCCGGTCCACACGTGGAGTGGGCCTCCCCAGACCGCTCCAACCCGATCAGGCAGGTGTCACTCTGCGCCCCTCCACCTCTCAGACAAGGGCCTAGGTGCAGAGTTTGGTGGCTTCAGCAGAGGCGGAGCCAAGCAGCCAGCTCTAACCCTAGGGCAGCCCAGGACTGACCTTTCCTCTCCTCTTCTTTCTTCTTTGCAGCCTCCTCCCGCTGTTTCCGGATGATCGCCAGCCGGGCAAGGTCAGCCTTGGCCTGCTCTGTCTTCCCAGCTAAATGCATCTTCATGTAGCGTTCTTTTGCTTTCTGCTTCTCAATTTCTTCTCTTTTGAGATAAAACTGGTGTCACAGGGGGCATTTTCCCCACCAGTTATCTTCTTTTTGAGGTGGCGGGGTGGGGGGCGGGGGGGACAGGGTCTTGCTATGTAGCTCAGGCTGGGCTTGAACCACAGGTGGTGATCCTCCTGCCTCAGCCTCCCGAGTGCTGTGTGCTCCCACCACTGTTAAATGAGCTCGAAGTGGGAGCAAGAATAAAGGCCAAGCACTGGGGCCTACGGCACAGGTGGTGGAAGAGGGTTCTCCAGCTGAGGAAGGGACCCTGGCTCCATGCACCCTTTGATGGACACTCAGCCAACAAGCAAGCAGAAGGAATGGGCCCAGATGGCAAACACCTGTGATGAAGCACTGGCACAAGGCGGGACAATGTCTGACTGTGGGGACACGGGAAGATGCCTGAGGGCTTTCGCACTAGTGAGAAAGGGGGACCTAAAGCAAGTGAACTGAGTTCCAGATGGCAGGGATCACAGCGGCACTGGAAACTATATTCTATAAGGAACAGAAATAAGTGGGTCAAGTAGCCACAAACCAGGGGACTGGGCCCCGCCTGGGAAACAGATCCAATCTTGCATCACCATGACGTGGTACATTCTTACAGCAGCTCAGAGGTGCAAGAGGCTGTCTCTCAAGGGAGGGAGCCCTTAATAAGAATGTAGGAATAAAAACTGGCCTTGTAGGGACAAAGATGTTTTTCACCCCACTGAGACAAGAGTGTAGAGGGGCCATTAGGTTCCCGTGAGGATCTTCTTCCCAAGCCTGAGAGTCTGCACTGGCGGGGGCACCACATGCTGAGTGGGCGGGACTTCCCTGCACTCATCTGGAAGGAGCCCAGTGCTGGAGGCAGGAAGAGCTCTCTGCCCAGCAGGACAGAGGAATAATGAGGAACAGCAAGGGGCTTGACTAGAGGAGAGCACTAGGAATGGGATAAGCAGACAGTGCAGCCAGGATACTGGATACTGGACACATTTGCTGGAGAGAAGAGCAGGTGACAGCAGCTCCCACCCTAGCCGGGACATGCCACACGCAGACACCTCTGAGCTGAGCTCCCAGGAATGAGCCTGCTGCCCAGGCTCTTCAGGCCTTCTCAGTGAAGGCCAAGTGCCAGTCAGGGCCCTGGCCTGTATTGTTGACATCGCTGCAACCACAAAGGGAGGGCCAGCAACAGGATCCTCTTTGCGCTGGTGAGAACACTAAGACCCAGGAAGGGCAGTGACTCATTCACAGTTGCTCAACGGTGAAGTGGCAGAACCTGGGTGAGCATTAGAGTCCTTCTGCTCTGGGAAGGCCAGCACCAGCCCAGGCTATTGGCTTCTGGGAAGTCCATCCCAAGAAGGAAGCTACTGCAAGGGTTGGGAGAAGAGTCCTTCGCAGTCTCTGATCACATCCCGCACTCACAGGCTTTCCCTGTGGAGTTTTCATAGACAATGTTCCCTACCTCTCCTAGGGTCTGCATAGGTTGGTGGACTCAAATCCTAGTAGCTTGATCAGGGAAAACCCAGGCTACTTTCCCCAGCACCCTTCAACCTCTTAAAAGACCCCTGAGAAGCCGGGATTTAGCTCAGTGGTTCCACCACCTGCCTTGAAAGCGCAAGGACCTGAGTTCAATGCCTGGCACTAAAAAACAACAAAAAGGACCCGAGGTCACCTTGTGACCACCAAAAGTCAGGGCACATGAGGTCCTGGGTCAGTCCTCAGGGAGAGAGACAGTTAGAGACAGCATGAGAGAGAGACACAGAGAAACGTTTTATCAAGGACTATATGCCAGGCATTTAGTGCTTGATCTCAACATCCGCACAACTCATGAGAAATATTTTCAGCTCCATTTTTGCATGGGACTTGAGGGATATGGGGCAGCCAGCTGAGTTAGCAGTACCTCTGGGCAGTCCAACCCCCAGTCCCTATGGCCACGACCTCATGGATGGATGCAGGCCAGGAACGGTTAGGACTGGGTTGGAGAAGGAAGTCTTTCTAGGGTGGGTGCTTTGGAGGAGACTACAGGATATCCCCCACAACCCTGGCCATCACTTCAAGTGCAGACTGGCTTTTTTTTTTTGGTACCAGAGATCGAACTCGGGACCTTGTGCTTGAGGGAGGTGGCAGCACCACTGAGCTAAATCCCCGGCCCTTCAAGTGCAGTCTGAAAGCAAGTATCTACTGGTGAAAAGTTTGTACTTATTTTTTTTGAGATGGCTTTAGGAAATGAGATAAAACAGAAACAACAGTTTCACCCTCCCACCCCTCACCAGGCACCTGAGCAACCCATGGGTCAACCCCCTCCCCTGGGTGCCATCATAAGGCTTGCCTATAGAACATTACCGTTCTCTCCTTGAAAGCTCTTTCGGCCCGTCCAGATCCAGCTGCGTGACCTTTTTGGCTGTCTGTGCCACCCGGTTGGGGTTCTCAATGTCGATGAGCCCTTCCACGCCTTTTCGTTTTTGCTGGGACAGGGTAAAAGGCTGGCTATTGGAGAAGCTTAGGCTCTGCAGAGGCCCCTGAGGCCAGTTTCACCACCTCCCAAGAGCCCATCAGGATGGGCACAGATTCCTGCTCCACCTCCAGC